CAGTGCACAACACAACACAGCTGTGCTTCTTTAAGGTGTTTACCAAGTGACCCAAAGAGTGACTTCAGCATAGGAGGGTTAATGAAATCCGAGAAAGTTTCTCGGCTTTTCAACTTATGGTTAAAATGGTTCAGAGTCAATAATGAGAAAGGTGCATTGAAGCCTCACCTGATTATTTCTGATCTCAAAGTCGTCTCCTTCCACCAGAAGGATAGGTATCCACTCCTGGACCCGGCCTCCAGAGGGCGCTTTGCAGTCGCTCTCATCTTCTGTGACATCTTTGATGACGTAGGTGGCACAGGCCGACTTATCTCTGGGATAAAAGAAAGCCGGTAATTTCACAACACAACAAAATAAATAAACTCCCCAGGTCTTTTTGGTCAAATGCACACTCAAAACTGCAAACTCGCTCAACTACGTATCTCCATATGTACATGTAACAAGAATACCGGTGACTCAAAATAGTGCACCTCCAAGAGTTTGCAACATGTCGGCCAATCACAACGTGTGAAATCTGTCAACCTACTGTGCCTTTGGAAAGGGTCGACAGATTTTGCACGTTGTGATTGGTCAACGTGCTGCAAACTCTTGGAGGCGCACAACTGTGAATTGCCAGTATTGATACAGCCTCAATCCCCCCAAATCCTCCGTTATTTGCTCCGTGGAGGGGTGGTCACTCTTTCAATCTTTCAAATCCTCTAGCAATAATTTGTTAACATCTTGAGGCAGAGTTAATGACATCAAACAGCTGTGCAGATGACCCGTATCGTTTACAATGTACATGTATGCACAAGTTTTCCCAAGACCTTGGCACAATGCCTCAATCCTTTCAAAATCATCCACGCTTTGAAGCCTTTTTTTGGAATATGACGAGGGACAGATTCCCTCCCCCAAGGAACTCGGCTGTGCCATGCCAAATTGTTTTGAATCTTGGCATGTAAATACAAACACTCCTTAGCATTACAAATGTAATGACCTCAATCAGACATCGATGTGATTTTGTTGTTAAGGTCATTTGAAATTCATGGCTACATGCATGCCAGATTGCCTGCACTGAGCACTGCAGTGGAAATAATATACAAGCACGCTGCATGAGAACACGTTTGATCTTTTGCCAAAGTGGTGTCAAAATGACCGCAAAGGGTTGCTCTGAACTTCTAAACAAAAATGTAGTGTGGCAATACCGGAGAAGCTGTAGTGGAGGGCGGATTCCCCCCCCCCGACTCTTTTAGGGTTCAAATTCATTAAAAATTCTTTTTGAAGGGCCACATCTTGTCAATGCCAGAAGGGACGATGACAGGATGGGGAGAGGAATCTCCAAAGGTCCAAGCTGTCCTGTGTCCGAGTGTTTTGAACTTAGCAAGCATGGAAAAGGCTTTTACTCCAAATGCATCAACGAATTAATTGTTGCTGTAGGCCTAACTTAAAATGGTTTATTGATGTCCACTTTTGTATTTAAACTTCACACACCTTATGTGTGTTAACCTGCTTGCATTGAACCCTTGTCAATGGAAACATTAACTTTTTGACCAACCTGTCAAGCAAATACTACACGTAAATATGGGCAGTTTGTGAAAGCATTGTGTTTAATTACAATACAAAGCTCGTATAAAATTACTGTTCGTATGTAGACATTGTTAGAAAATCGCCTAAGGCTTGGCCTTTCTTTAAAAATATGCATCGCAACGACATGAGGGAAAATGTTGAAGGATGGTCGGAGTTCAACCTGAAAATATAGTTTTACCTATGCTCGACGGCTCCAACGATGAATCCGTGAGATGCCAGCTCCACACATATGGAGGAGTAGGTCGTCCGACACGCCGAGAGACCATGCGAGAATATCACAACGGGGAAGGGTGTGTTGGACTTAGCAAGCGGCGCATTCTCAATGGCCGGGATCTTGAAACTTTCTGTGGAATGTTCAGGCCATAAAAACGAAAATACCAATTGAGAACACAGATCTGGGAAACCAGTATTTTCATGAACTGTCTATGGAGATACATGTAAATGCAACGGGCCATGCAAAAAACCCTTTCTAATCTGGGTTTTGTATTAAAGGTAGGGTCATAGTTTGATTTTTGTTCAGGTTGAGGATGGGGCCTACTGTAACGTCCTCAATCCTATCAATGCAAAGTCTTTCTGACTTTCTTGACGGATCTGGAGTTAGGGATTTCCATTTAGAAACAGTATTGCCCAAATGAAAGAAAAAATAAACAACAAAAAAAAGCAATAATTCATGTCAAAAAGTACTGCAAAGATTTTTCATTTCTGCTATTGGTCCCCCACGACTCCTCCTCACAGCAACCTTCAGATCAATTCAGTCAACTCAACCTTCGCACCTTGCCAAATTTCCTCCAGATCAAACGAAGGAAATTACACATTTCCAGAACACGTGTCTGGCGAGTACATGTACCGGTAGTGCCGCCGGCCTGTAATCACCAGGGGCCAATTTCATAGAGCAGAATTAGCTTAAGCATAAAAAAACCTTGCTTAATAAACAAAGATTACCAGCTCAAACTCTATGTGATTGTCATGTTAACCAAAAGAGAAGTAAATACCATTCCAAACATTAGGTACATGACAAAAATTTCGACTGGTAACCTGATTTGTCAAGCAAGACTTTTCACACTTCAACAAATATTTCTGCTTAAGCAGCACTATGAAATTGGCCTGTGTAGCTAAAAAGAGGACTGAGGAACATACCCTACCGTACCAATCCCTGACCAACGTATCTACACAATGTACACATGAAGAATTCAGTTACATTGTACATTTTCTGATGCATACATGTCCATTAGGTTCACTGAACTCCCTCCGGAGACCTTTGAGCTAGAAAGCAACGGCAGACCCACAAATCCTCCGATGGTCTCCATGTACATGTAACAAAAAAGTGGGTCCTGCCTCAAATCTTCCAAAATCCTCTGTAACTTCTGGCATTTACTNCCTGCAGAGGGGTGCCCACTGCCTCAGTCATTCAAAATCCTCCAGCAATTTTTGTCATTATGTTGAAAGAATGCGAATGGTACCCTGGAGCAGTGGGGATGATTTCATTGTAGGCCTGATGAATCTATTCAAGGCCGAGCACATCCTCAAGGTCCAGTCCAAGACACTGACAGCTAGAGTGCATCTTTCAAAACAAGACTTTGGGAGCACTGGTGGCAGAAGTGGGAGTGGTGAGCAGCGCCCCAGCCCACTTTTTTGAGAGGGGGGGGCATGATCCCACTTCTTTATAGGTCCTAAAATGGGGTGGGGCTTCATGGATTGGCCTATTACTGTACTGGCTGATGCCCGATGGTCTCACAATTGGCCCCCACTTTGAAAATCATTCCACCACCAGTGCTTGTGGAGGTTAGGATTGAAATACAGGAATACAGAAGGGGCTTTGGCCTTCATGTTATGTTGCATTCTGGGATTTTGATGACCTTGGATCCAACCTTGCAATGTAAGTAAAACCAGTTCACTAGCATGACCAATTCTAACAAGGGATCCACACGCTCCCGCACCGTAGTTGTGGGGACATACACGTACACTTGACATTTCACCTATTTTGTGGGACCAAAAACATTGTGAGGACTCAGAAATGTCCCCACAACTCAGTTCAAAGGTTTTCCCTAAAAAAAAAAACTTGTCCCCTGAACGTGGTGAATGCCTACCCACATGTACGCACCCATACACATACTAAAATACATGTACATGTGAAAATACCTGTGAGGAACGTCAGCAAGGAGGCTGTTACTGAGGCTGCGTGCTTGTAGCCCGCGTAGCTCACAAAACCCTCTGCGTACTCCCTGCTTGGAAGCCAGGCTGCATAGGCCGATGAATCGCTGGCAATGCTGGCTTTCGGGGAAGCAGCTGGATAAAACAGGCGCAGGAAACTCCTGCAATCAAAATCAATGCAAGGGGCAGAGGTAAAGATAATGGTTTTAGAGGGCTCAGCCCTAAAAGACCCAGGTTTTTCAAACCTTTTCGCAGCAGTAGGTGGATGGAATCCTAGCCGACGGAGATGTCTTTTCCCAAGACAGACGGCCACCAACCCTGACCTGTCTCAGATCTTCTGTAATTGTCTTAACTGTGCCTTACAAAATTCTCAAAGGAAAGTCCACCTTTTCAATCGTTTTCCTGACAGCAGGTCAAATTCTCCACTTTCCTCTGGAAACACCACATCTGCCTTGATCCCTGATGTACGACAGGTGCCTGTACATGTTCTACAGTATGACGCTGGGGCACTTTTGCCAAGTACCGGTAAAAAAGAACAAAAGCTTGTCGTCTTGTTTGTTTAAGGGAAGAGGTCTTGCTTTTTTTCCAGCAGAGTTTGGTGCAGCTCACAAAATGGGTTACCACCAACAGACCTTTTCCTGTGATGTCATGATCATGCGGGACCGCGATGTGTTGTGATGGTAATGAGTGCACAGTACTGTGACGGTAATCTACACATGTACATTTAGTTACATGTACATTTAGTTACATGTACATTTAGTTACATGTACATTTAGTCACGCAGGTAAAAAAAGTCTACTGTCAGTGGCAGAACTTTGTCAACTTTGATCTGCTGTTTGCTCAACAAGACAAGCATCTCTGAAAAAATGTGAAAAGTATCAAAGTGCATAAATGTATACCACAGAAATGGAAGAAAACCCTTAACTCTCCCTGCTGAGAAATTTGACTATGTGTAAGTCTGCACACTCTGCATCAAATGAAAGCATGGCATTCAAAGTAATACATGTATCTGCAGATGGAAAAACCTCACTTCTCCAAATGAGTGACCATCATTAATGGCACTTTTTCTGTCCAATACAACTTTGTGCTATTGTAATTTGGGTTGGATTTAGCAACAGTTTTGAAAGCTACAGAGCAACCATGTCACACGAGGAATTTGGCTGGACTATACATGTAACTGGGTAAAAATGGCCAACACAATTCACGCTTAATAACCCCTTCCCACCAGGAACTGTCCACAGCCTGGCTTTGCGTGAGGATTAGTGCATACCATACCTACAGTCTATTCACCATGCAGCTGCTGGTTCAATGTGGGCCTGCTGCTGGACAGAGCTTTGCATACTGGGCATAGGACAGCCCAGCAGTCACAGTCAAAGAATCCCAGAGCGGTTAATGAAATTGTGACTCATGAAGACCCATGAAAAGAGTTTGCATGTTTGGTCCTCCAAAAAGCAAGAACTCCTTGTAATAAATTTCAAATGGTTCGGTGTTTTGTCCTGTCTTTGTGATCATTTTTTGACAGTTTTGGGGTTCGGTGCGGGGTTGCAATTTACATACATTATGGAGTACTAAAAAACACCTGTTAATTTTCTTGAAGCACTAGTACGACCCACCTACATGTACATATCAAAAACCATCCAAAAGAAACACAGTTACCATGGTTACCAGGACTTACATATATGTACATGTTAACAGTGGCCTAGAGCTCACCCGTGGATGGTGGTATCACACATGATATCCATGCAGCCAACGGAGTACTTGCCATGCCCTGGCAATATGCCAGCATCTGCACTTTTTGTAAATGGCCACATGATGACGGCAGCAAAGTGACGATTCAACAATGTCCAATCACAGAGACGGAAGTGCATGCGTTAATTGCTTATTCTTCACAGCGGTGAACCTTTTTAATGAAAACAGTAAATTGGGAGAAATGAACTCACATGTATATACAGTATATCTTTTTTATCAATGAATGTACAGTAGTCATACTTTACATCTTGCTTTGAAAAGTGAACTTTAATATTCAAAGAATTCATATCCATGTGGGGAGTCGGGTTGGCAAGGTAGTTCTTTCCTCGCCTCCCACCTCTTGTGGCCCGGGTTCAACTCCCGGCCCAGTCCACATGCAGATTGGGTTTCAGTCCCTACATGTACCTGACTCCGTGGGTTTTACCCAGACGAATACCTCTGGGGTTTTCCTCCCGCCTCTAAAACTGGAACTGCTTCTTTTGTCTCCTCTTTACTGATGTCAGAGAATGTGGGTCGTTTGGTGGCTGCCAGAGGCACCCTTGTATGCCATCGGCTCAACCATTCATTGTTCCACCCTGAATGTCTTCATTGTACAGCGCATTTGAACATATCTATATGAAATTTGCGCTTCATAAATGACAAAATTATTGTTTATTATTACCTGGCTTGTTTGGACATCACTTGATGCATAGAACTACCGGTACATGTACATGTATGGTATGTAAAGAGAAAATGGACAAAATGAGTGAAGTGAGAAAGAGGCATCGCTGTGCGCGATGTGCACACTGTTCATGCCAGCTTGCGTACTTATAGACAGGTACATCATAGATTTCTAAGTGTAATCTGGCGACTCAATGCAGACAATCGGCAAACCAAGTTCAACTTTGCAACCATGGAGGCAGGAAAGCTCCATGTTGCAACTGCCGCTATGGCCACTGTCCCTGTTGTCAGTCGTGATGAATTGTTGGAAATTGATCGGTAATGCTTTCAACTAACTAGATTCAAGACTCATCTTTCATCGTGTTGATGTCTTTGTAGTCCCGACTCCTAAGTTATAACTCGGACAAACAGTTTAATGTCAATTACAATTATTATCCTACCCCATATCATCGTGATGTCCGTGACACATATAGGCCCCAGCCTTTCTCACCTTACACAACCCGGCGTTCTCTTTTGTCATATGTTTGTAAAATTGTGCCTTATTTCAATGAATCAAATGCTGATTTCACCAGACATTTCAAAAATTTTTAAATTGGAAATTAAATGGACATGATCATATGGATGGAGCTACACACACGACACGTGTATGATGCATGATGTAGGCCTACAGCATGCAAAAAGGGACAAATTGCTATCACAATTTCCTATTTAAGAAAATGAGTTTCTAAATAAACCCTCACTCATTTATTCATGTCCCTTTCGTGGGCCATGACAACCAGAATCACTCACCTTTTGTTTTAGGCCTAACTTATGTAGGCCTAACTTGCACAGTTGTAAGTTAATGAAGTTTTTACAGCACAGTCACAACGGAGGACCAAACATTCCAAAGCCTACGTACTTTGCAGAGTGCGATTAGAACAGCTGCAGTTCTCCAACTTGGTCTAAGGGGCACTTCGTGACTTTCTTGGCCGCACCTGTCATTGTCACTGTCACATGCGCCGGCAGTCGGAAGACAGTTTTACGCTTGTCACCCCACGAAATTCAACCAACCTTACCAGCCGGACATGACATTGCATAATCTCTTGGGGGCGCCACAGACTTTGGTCAAAATTAATGGCCAAAATTCCATAGTCAACAAAATTTGTTAATGTCAAACAAGAAACAATCACGGAAAAAAATCAAATCAAAGCTCATTTCCTCATCTGGGAATTTCCTTTCCTTTTTTTTAATGACTTAACCGCTGTTTTTTGATTCTAGATAAAAGACTCTCACCCCATAGCAACCACCTAAGTTTTGAGGAAGCTTTATCGCCACTTGGGCAATTTATGCCTGATTTAAATCATGGACCGAGATGAGGCGATCACTAATGTTCTTATTCCTCCATGTTAAAATAGAGTGGTGCTGGGCAGTGGCGTGGCTAGGATTTTACTTAGTAGGGGAAGGCATAAAGGGGGCACCAGCATCTTATGGGGGGGGGCACCACCTTTCAGTGGTGCAGGTTTTTTTGCGGAAAAGCTTTGTTAGCCATGTTCAATATCTGTTTTTTAGTGGGAGAACCTGGAAGGGGGGGGCACCCCCGGGTATGCCACTAGTGTTAGGGTCCGTCTTGCCCCAATATTTGCATAGAATTAAGTTTACCATAGACGGAGAACCTGGGGACGGGGTATAACTTTCGACTTTTTGGCCAGGGGGATTACACAATCATCCCTCCTTCAAGTCGCTGACATTATGCGCACACATAATTGAACTTAGAGGCGTGGCCTAGGACCCCTATGCCGTGTTCGGTGTCACGCACTCTCTCTCTCCCCTTACAAGGATGACCTTTTAAAAATCTCCGCCCACGAAGCTAATTCCAGTCCAGCTAAATTTCATCATTCTTAACATTTCCCAAATTATCCAATCCACGTGCCACAAAATGCTCGAGGACTAAACAGCGGAGACGTCATCGACTCGTCGTCCCGACCATCACCCTGACTTCGAAGTTACTCGCTCAATAATATCATAGCCAGTCTGGGAGCAGAACTTAGTGAAAACATGCAACAGGGCAAAATTACTCGCATGAATTATTTAAACGAAGAAGGAAGAAGGTCTCATAAAAAAATGAATTTATAGTGACAGAGCCTCTTATGAAACAAAGTTTACTTCACGCTGGATTTGCCCCCGCCAATATACCCGACGAAAATAATGCTTTTCCCCTTGCACTTTTTTCCCAAGGTAGCCACCCGCGAAATGTAGGTGATATTAAAGAACAAATGCCAACGAGCTTAGTGGGCTCACACAGGGCGACTTGTAATTCACAAGACATGCGTCGCTAGTTGCCGGGGCAACAGTGAAATGGTAAAATACAAGTTCATGTACCCGATGTTTCATTTTCTACGCCTATTTTGGTGGTTTGACCCTCCGAAATCTGAATGGAAATATTGCCAGCTCTGACAGATACACACCACGGGATACCATTTCAAAAAGTTTGTTGTCGAATGGACAGACGAGGGTTAACCTTTGCTGTGAAAGGAAAGGCAGATAATTGCAATGCCAGATGAAATCCAATATGGCCCCCAGGCTAGCGCTTATCAACTTTGGAAGAACATAATCAACTCATAAAAGTCCCAGACAATGTTCCTTATGGAATGGCATAAAGATAAAGCGACAAACTTTTCTCCCTCGGGCATGATCATCAGTAAGTCAAGCTACTCGGAAAACAAAATGCTCTCTTCCCACCAAAAGTGTGAACTTGTAGGTGATACATGTATTTATTGAGACGTTTTATCAGAAATAAAACCATGACCAAAATAAAAATAACAAATGGCGCGATCCATTCCACCTAAACCTCACAGTCAACCTCAATCTTACCTCTTCATTGTGCGCAGGAACATTCAACTTTTCGAGTATTTTTAAGTTAAACCGCCTTAAAACAAATCACAACATGGCTCACAGAAATTAAAATTACATTTGTTAATTACAAATCATCCACATGTACATTAATACCTTAGTAACAATTACACTCGGATGACCTCTTGCAGTTTTATAGAACTGGGCTTGTTTCCTCCCGTTTTCAACCTTTGGAGAGTCATGTGGCTTGAGTAAACTTTATTTTGTCATGAGAGTTCTCCAAAAATTACGCTCCACCACTTTTTGTCACCGTTCTCAACATTCAAGGTCCAAAAGAATGCCACCGGGAAGATTCCAAGCCTAGCCTCTACATGTGTCTGAAAATAAAACCACGGACTGTCACCCTCAGAGCACAAAATGACTCTAAGATACCCATGCGAGCTACTTGTACATAGTTACTGAAGTCTCTAAACTGATTGAACACAGGTCAAATAAGACAACTCATCCGTCAGTCAGCTAAGGTATATTCATGTCATCAGTACCAGGCCATTACATGAAGCTAGTTATACAACACAAACAAGTTAAGGACCACGTTCTATTCTGTGTATACTTTTTTATGGGATAGTTTACTGCTGAATGCCTCTTGCATCATTGCATACTTTTAAATTGTTTTTTATTCCAATGAGAACATCATCTAGACAAACAAAAAATAAAAAAACTATACCCCACTCATTGCTTGGAAAAAAAATACAAGTTAAGAAAAAAAAGTAGTCCTTAACTTATTTGAGTAGTGTGCATACACACACAGGCTAGCCATTAATTAACAGTAATGCCATATTATTCCGCTATGTACACAGGCTTATCATTGACAATTTCAAACCCCTTGTCCTTAATTCCACTCTTAAAATTGCCTGGGTCAAATATCACCGCCAGTGAGAGTTTAGACACTAGCTTCCAAGCTCCTGCCTTGCCAACCTAAAAAGGTTTTGGGTTTTAAACATCAATTTCGAGTCTTAGCTTTTCCATCTCAAATTGTTGTTTACACAACCTTTTCTCATATTCAAGTGAGCCAGAAATTCACCCGAACATCTCAAAACTGGGTTGCAGAAACCAAATCTTGGACAACTACAACACTAGTTCTCATTACCGCTTGCAAGGTTTAAGAATTTCGTCCAAGCAATTTTTTCAGAGTCCCGAATGGGCAGGGCAGTAGCGGGATCGATAAATTCTTATTATACAGACTGAAAACACTGTGCCATCCCATGAGTGACACAAATCCATGATGACCGCACCTGTAACATTTACATGTCCCAATACATCAAGTTAAATAAACCAGTTTTCAGTACCTCTATGTGCTTAGCACTGTAAAAAAGAGATTTCTTTGAATAAACAAGTTGGATATCTCAACGTGCCCCAAATGAAGAGAGTCCCATCATTGGCCTATCCACAACATTGGCGCAGATATACGATGACTGGATGTACAGTACTGTCAAGCTGGCGTGGCGTGATCACATGTTCGATGCTCTCAAACGATCTTGTTTTATGAAATACTGCTGAAATAGCCTGACTTCTCCTCCCTCTATGCTTGAAGGGGGGCATGCTTGCATTAATGCTACAGTAAGTTCTTATAAGAGTCTTTCAGTTCACAAGGAACTTTAGCTAATCATGCACAACATGGTGGCCTTACCTTTTTGTACAAAGAAATCTCTTCTTAAACAGTTTTTCAACTGACAAATTGTAGGCTAAAATAATGAAACACATGATAAAAAAATACACTTATAAATTTGGAAAAAAACCGATATGTACAGCTATGTAGAATCATAGACTCAAATCAAGACCAAACCTGTGCCATCTTGGAAAAGTTAATTTCCGGGAATTTTTGAAGAAAATACAAAATGAATGGACATTTCATTCTCAATAATTCCAACACCTTTGGCCCCAATGCATTTACACCCATAATTAAAAAAAAAAGCTAATAAAGTATCCACAATTTTAGAGAAAAGAATAATTAAGTCCAATATGGTGCCATACGGGGGGAAGACTGATGGCATGTATGGTACAATTTATATGTACATCCTAGAAAAACACAATTACAAAACACATACAGCGTTATCAAAAATATCAGGCTGTTTAAAAGGAATTTTTTTACGGTTGGAAATGTTATTAGGACGCAACAAGATTAATTAGATTGAAAGATTTTAGTTTACCAAACACCATGACCCAGCTGATCATTAAAAAGGGTGTACAAAGCTCTGTTCAAAATTATTACACCAAAACATGTTTAATTCTTAAGAACAAGTTCTGATGAAGAGACAAATTAACCCTCTAACTTCTTTTATCAGAATGACTGGGGTTCTGGAAAGAACAGGAGTGCTCGATGTTTTGGACAGTATGCTCTGTCCATCGACAGAATGCAGACTGTCCAAAACATACTGTACATGTATCTGTTACTTTTCAGAATCCTCATCAACTAATTCTTGTGATCACTAACAAATGACACATCCACTATCCTAACTTTCAAATCAAACAAGTTATGATTTTGTATCACTTTTACTGCTAACTTTACTGTACATTTGATTGGTGCTGTGCACCTTTCAGTTGCAGAGCACAGACTAACATTTGCTAACATAGTCAGCTGATGCTATGTCTAAATGTGTTGGCATAGCAACTGAGCAAAGGGGGAATGAACGACGGAAGGTACATGTATCTTCCAGTTTCCCCTTACAATCCATATTGACAGAGTAAAAATTAAGTACATGAGTATACCGTATATGTACAGTACCTGTGCACTTGACTTGCTTCAGTGCATGGCTATAACTGGTGACATAGGTTTGACAGAGCCTGTTTAGCTTCAGCCTGAGAGAAATCGGTTTCCTTCCTTTGCAAGAGTGCAATGATCACGCTGGTGCTTCTTCAAAGTAGATGCAGCCGGAAATGCCTTGCCGCATCTGCAGGAAAATGGCCTCTCTCCTGTGTGTTGCCTCTCATGCTGAATGATACAGGTCTGGCGGAGACTTGTCTTGTCGCAGAAGTGACACTTGAACAGTGGCTCCCAGGGAATGGACTCTGCCTCAGCCTCGTCTGATCTGGGCGCTTCACTCATAGGGGCTCTGATGGGACTGGCCATTCGGGAACCCTGGCCTGACGTTTTTGCCACTCTGTGATCTTCGCTCCTGATCACATCATTGATCCCACAACCAGCCGGTAGCTGCTGCTTATGAACACCTCTAATGTGACTTTTGCAGGAAGACAACGTCCTGAAGTAAACACCACAGATGTCACACTGGAAGGGCTTCTCTCCAGTATGGATCCTCTCATGTTCCTCCAAGTGGCTTTTACATCTGAGTTTTTTCGTACAGTACTGACATCGGAAGGTTTTAAGCTTCTTTGTGCCCACGGGTTTTCGTCCTCTCTTAGGATGTGTTGGCACACAAGACAGTGGCTTCTTCTTGGAGTGTAACCTCTCGTGCTTCGCAAGATGACCAGGAGAGGACAGACCTCTCCCGCACACTCGGCAGAAATACTTGGGCTTGACAACTGCCTTGTTATGCTTCAGCTCATGGTCTTTCAGCTCCTCTGGATCCAGAAAAAACCTGATGCAATGATGGCACTCGTAGACATCTCGGTGGTGGATGGTCATCCAATGGTACTTGAGGTGCGCCCTCTGTTTAAACTGCACCGAGCACTGGGGGCACTCAAACGGCCTCTCATCAGTGTGAACGCGCATGTGGAGACTGATGGATGACACCACCTTGGAGCACACCTTACATGTGTGAGATTCTTGATGGGTTGCGAGCGCCTGAGCGGTCCGTAGAACTTGGTGACAAACTGTGCACTGGAAGCCCCCCTTGACTTTCTTGTTAACTCGGAGTCGCTCATACTTTTTGCGGATGACCCTGGTCGCAAGTGCGGGGGCGCGCTTAACAGCCGATTTAGGGGGATCCGGTGCATCTTTGCCAGCATGTACCTTCTGATGGTTGAGGAGGTTCTTTCTACTCAGACACACCATACCACAGATTTGACACATGAAGTGGCCTTTCATCATGTGAGTGGTTAGTGCTGACTTGGTTGCAAATCTGAACTTGCAAACCTCACATGAAAAGGACTGCTTCATTTCTGGGCTCATCCTGGGCGACTCGGAAATGCTCACAGGCTTTATTCGGCCCTCCTTGGCTGCTCTGGTTCCAGGCTTGTGCTGGCTGGTAGATGGCATCTCAGAGAGAGATTGTTGCCATTTGTTTACCTTCTGAGATCTGACTGCTGTCGTGTTGGAGTTCGGTTCCCTCCCTGGCGATGGATGACCAGACTTGAGGTTGGATGTAGGACTAGTTTCAGTGGCAGCCCTTCTGAGATGGATGTTCTGATTATGCATCCTCATTTCACGAGCAGTGAAGAATCTCTTGCTACATACCAAGCAGGGGAAGCGCCTATCCTGAGTATGCCTTCTAACGTGCTCGTTCAAATGACTCTTCTGCTTGAACCTTTTAGGGCAAATTGGACACGGAAAAGGCCTCTTTGACATTGACGAGGCCTTGCCTCTGGGCTGAGCTGTCTTGTTTATAGTCGCAAGGTCATTTAATAATGCTCGTCCCCTGCCAATACCTACTGATGAGCGTCGCTTTTGAGGGGAGCGCGGTGGAGTGCTGGTACGTATACCTTCCATGGTGTTCTCAACTTCACTGTGACGATCTCTCATCACATTAACATGATAGTCATCGGGACTATCATCCATATTCAAAGCCAGATCCTCCTCAAGGTGCCTTTCGGCCTTGAGGTCATTCTCAGCCACCTCAAAATCCTCCTCCTCTCTTATTGTAGAATCCACCTCACCTGCTTGTGTGGAGAATGCTCCGTCGCCGTGATTGATTTTCTGGAGGCTCACTTCCGCTCGCAAACTTCCCAGTTTTTCAAATAAGGTGTCTTCATCCAGGTTGCTTCTTGTGTATTCTGAGACCACTGCAAAATGAAAAAAAAAAAGCAGCATGACTCTCCGAAAAACAGTCATCATCTTCACAGCCTTGCATACAAGCAGTGTTCAGGTGTACTTTGTAAAAAAACAAAACAATAATTTTTGTTTCAGGACTTGATATGACGATAGACGTGCACTTCACACAAGTGTGCTAAGATACAATTCTGAGCAAAAATGCTTAATAATGTTGAAACATTGCAATGCATGAACACTGTACGTCGTTCTGGCACTGACGTCATCCACTCAGCCTGGGAGCGCAAATGGCCAAAAGGGGATTTTTGTTGGCGGGGAAACACAGGATATTTTTATTTATTTTGCGGTCACAATTAATGGGATAAACATTAAATTTATGATGTTTTTGAAATGGTTACATAAAAGTTATTGTTATGTTGAAATACTTCACAAGAACTAAATGTTTTCTATTTCTGTAACCCTTTAACCCTAACCC